GTAAGTATGTTAAAAATATAGCATAAGTCTTCCTTAAGAATATAAATAGAAATAAGTTATTAACTATCGATTAACAGGCTTGGATAGTTACATGTCTGCTTACAGTAGGTCTGTCTTTAACGGTTTATAAGTTTTTGTTATAAATAAATTTCCTTATGGAGAAAACGAAATACTATGAAAATAGTTAGCGTTATGACTTTTTTCCCGCTTGATTTAGTCTAGTTAGTCTTCTATCAAACACAACATGATTTCTGTTGATCAAGATCTGGCAGCAGCACATTTTTCCTCTTGGGCGAGCGATTCACGGACAGCTTTCCCTGCGCATTAAATCCCTGAGAAATGTTTTTTCAGCACCTTGTTGAATCTATGCCACGAATAATTAAGGCTGAAGGTATATATACTGTATATATTATTTTTTTATCATTTATAATCATAATTTTAACATTGTTCAAACTTAGAATGAAATTTATTTCAGATTTAAATAAATACCTAAAATACACTCACCGGCCACTTTATTAGGTACACCTGTCCAACTGCTCGTTAACACTTAATTTCTAAGCAGCCAATCACATGGCGGCAACTCAGTGCATTTAGGCATGTAGACATGGTCAAGACAATCTCCTGCAGTTCAAACCGAGCATCAGTATGGGGAAGAAAGGTGATTTGAGTGACTTTGAACGTGGCATGATTGTTGGTGCCAGAAGGGCTGGTCTGAGTATTTCAGAAACTGCTAATCTACTGGGATTTTCACGCACAACCATCTCTAGGGTTTACAGAGAATGGTCCGAAAAAGAAAAAACATCCAGTGAGCGGCAGTTCTGTGGGCGGAAATGCCTTGTTGATGCCAGAGGTCAGAGGAGAATGGCCAGACTGGTTCGAGCTGATAGAAGGGCAACAGTGACTGAAATAACCACTCGTTACAACCGAGGTATGCAGCAAAGCATTTGTGAAGCCACAACACGCACAACCTTGAGGCGGATGGGCTACAACAGCAGAAGACTCCACCGGGTACCACTCATCTCCACTACAAATAGGAAAAAGAGGCTACAATTTGCAAGAGCTCACCAAAATTGAACAGTTGAAGACTGGAAAAATGTTGCCTGGTCTGATGAGTCTCGATTTCTGTTGAGACATTCAGATGTTAGAGTCAGAATTTGGCGTAAACAGAATGAGAACATGGAAGCATCATGCCTTGTTACCACTGTGCAGGCTGGTGGTGGTGGTGTAATGGTGTGGGGGATGTTTTCCTGGCACACTTTAGGCCCCTTAGTGCCAATTGGGCATCGTTTAAATGCCACGGCCTACCTGAGCATTGTTTCTGACCATGTCCATCCCTTTATGGCCACCATGTACCCATCCTCTGATGGCTACTTACACCATGTCACAAAGCTCTAATCATTTCAAATTGGTTTCTTGAACATGACAATGAGTTCACTGTACTAAAATGGCCTCCACAGTCACCAGATCTCAACCCAATAGAGCATCTTTGGGATGTGGTGGAACGGGAGATTCGCATCATGGATGTGCAGCCGACAAATCTGCGGCAACTGTGTGATGCCATCATGTCAATATGGACCAAACTCCCTGAGGAATGCTTCCAGCACCTTGTTGAATCTATGCCACGAAGAATTGAGGCAGTTCTGAAGGCAAAAGGGGGTCCAACCCGTTACTAGCATGGGGTACCTAATAAAGTGGCCGGTGAGTGTATATAAATTGTTATATAATAAATCACAATATAAGCAATTATAGCATGTTTATGTAATGGTGTGCTGTGTAGTAGAATCCAAAGACGATGCGCAACGCAGAATGAACAATCAGAAACGACTTTAATAAACACAGAAGATAACAACTACCGTAACGTTAACATAAGACAAAGAACCGAAGAAACACAGACGAAGATCATTAATGGAACAGGGAACAGGTGAGAACTAATTAGAAACCATTGCAATAAGGAGCCTGACCGAGTAAGGTGGAGACGTGACCAGAGAGGAGCAGGTGGAGCAGAGTAGATGTAGAGCCAAGGTGACACTGAAGGCCTGGAGGGCCAAGGTGGAGCCATAGGCGTGTGTGACCAAGGTGGAGACTTGGTTGTGACAGACCAGGAGGGAGATGGTGGGAGTGAAGACATTGTAGGAACCGGAAGGAAGGAGGAGCCCAGCAGAGCCAGGGGGATGGAGGGTTGAGGTGCAGCTGATGACTCGGAAGTCCAAAGCAGAGCCAGAGCGACTATTGACCAAGGTGAAGCCAGAAGGATGAGGGAGCCAGTCAGATCCTGAGGGATGACATATCATGTTGGAGCAGAAGGAGCATGGAGCCCAGGTGGAGCCGATGGGTCGGAGGGCTGAGGTGGAGTCTGGGGCTCTGAGGCTTGAGGTTGAGTTGAGGGATCCACGCACCAAGGCGGAGCTGATGACTGGGAAGCATATGGCGAATCCGAGCAGCACGGCGGATCCATTAGAGGAGCCGAGGGGCTTAAGGGAGACAGCAGAGACGAGGGCGAGGAACTGGATGGCTTTGGCAGAGGAGGGAGACTTGGAGCTGGGCAGAGCCAATGGTGATGATGGAGGCTCGGGTCTGGATGACGATGGAGACTTGGTGCTGCTGATTTGACTCAATGGCGACAAAGACGACTTGGGACTGGGTTTAACCAGTAGAGACAAAGACTGGGCTGAACCAGCAGAGACTGAGATGACTTTAGACTGGACAGAACCAGCGGAGACTGAGATGACTTTAGACTGGACTGAACCAGCAGAGACTGAGATGACTTGGGCCTGGAATGGTTTTTTTGCGGGCTTGGGCTCCAAGTCAGCGGTGGGCTCTGGCTTTTGATCCGCTGATGGTATGGCTGAAGGCTGACTGGGCTCTGTGTATGGAGCATTGTCCTCATTTGCAAGGCAGATGGTAAACGGTCACACTGCTCCAGCACCCACTCCACATACTCCCACAGGCAGGAGTGTCTTCGACCGCTCATTGAGGCTGGTGTTGAAGAATACGCAAAGCATATTTATCATATAGCATATTATTTATAATTTTTAAATTATGTTCACACTTACAATTAAAATGGCTATAACATTATTTGGTAATGAATAAAACAAAACCTATAGTGTATGATGTATCTAACACAATATACACCGTATCTACAGTGGGCTCCACAAGTCAGAGAACACTGTAATAATTAAAACCTCACTTAACCCTGGAAATAAACAGAACGTTTTAGGATTTGGGGGAAAAAATTAAAAGAAAGACACATTTAAATTTAAAATGAATGAGGACTTTTTAATTTCCTGTAGCATCAAATATTCTAACAAATGTTGTTAAAAAGGCAAAATAGATGCGTTTTCACTATGGATCCAGATTTTTGGACTCCCTATATAACTTACAGTACATAAAATGTTGCAATATACAGTTCATTAAAGACCACCCACACATAAACACAACTCATACAGACCACCCTACCACCCTAAAGTTTTTTTTATTATTTTTTTAATAATGTCAAAAATCATGTAAATTATCCTGCCTCCACACCCATGAAACGTGTTTTATTGGCTGTCAAATAGAAAATAGTCAAACAAACAAAAACAAAAAAGAACACACTTATATTCATAGAGAAAACATATGAAACAGATTGGTTTCTGGTGTTATGTAATTGTGCAACAAGCATACAATTTTATGCAATTAAGTTATCTCATAATTATAACATTTAAATATACAGAAGTTCTTTCTTACTATCATCCCTGAGGTGGAGAGAACATACAGTAGTCAGCGAGTATCCTGTTTTTAAGGCTTAGTTTGATAAATCACACATGCTGATATGATTTTCAGAAACATGATGAATGCAACATGTCACTTTGGTATAAAATATACAAATATATAAAATCTAGATCTACGAGTTTTTTGACCAAATACTGAACAAAATTAAGTTCATTTAAAATATGTGTGTGTGTGTGTGGGCATGTGTCTATATGGAAGGTCCCCATAAAACATGGAAACCCAACGTGTGTGTGTGTGTGTGTGTGTGTGTGTGTGTGTGTGTGCAGTATCTGCACTTCCCCCTAACTGGTGCTTAAAGCCATGAAATTACAAAATAGTATTTCAAAATGTATGTCAAGGCTACTACACCCAGGGGGCAGTATATTCCTAACAAACATTCACTTTAAAAAAGGCCTCAAAATGTAAATATTTTGACTGTAAAATGTTCTTTACTTCTTGGTATCCTCTTTCATCACTCAACCACATAACCATGCCTTCATATTTCAAACTTCATATTTTGATATTTATTTATATTAATCGAGGAGATGTTTTTTTTTTTTTTTTTTGCACTTTTATCTTTTAAAATTTTAAAATTTTGTAACTTATATTTAGGGCAGCAGATTGACCAGAGGCTAAATTCTTCTCTCGTCTGAATTCTTCGTACAAAATACTAAATTCTTCATTCAATTCATTAAAGTCCTGTTATACTAACATTATTTGCATGAAAATGAATGTGTATTATCTTGGGAGACCTTGCAAAAAGTTATCAAAATAATCTTTTGAGTTTTTTTATCATTTGTTTTAAGAAAAGTTCAAAGTTAATTTCACATTAAAACTAAGTTCATTAAAATAAATGCAACGTATTTAAGTTAAAATAAATTTAAAACAACAACAAAATATTTTAGACCTGGGTAAGAAAAATAAAGTTAATTTAACATATATTTTCTGAAAGTTTGAATATCCAATTCTGCTTTATTACAAAATCTTTGCTTGAAAACCAAAAATCAAAATACAGATTCATTAAATTACTTTATGCTGTATAAAGACAATTATTATAGTTTTTACTAATATTTTGAATTGTATTTTATGTTTATATTTTCCGTTTTCATTTTCATTTCAGTTAAAGTTTTGGTAATTTTGTTGTTTTCATTTCAATTTTAATTTAACTTTACTTTTTTTTGTATATCAAGTTACTAAAGGAAAATGAGAAATGTTGGCAACTAGTTGGAATCAAATATTTTTTTTCCATTTAACAGTTTTTTTTTTTTTAATGTTTTTAGTTTTAGTTTAAGTTATAATAATATCCCTGATCCTCACAGATTTTAAAGATTCAAATCTACGTCAGCGATGATAATGAATTCATTTCCGCCGCAGAACAGCTTTAGAAACCGCTTCTCTCGTGTTTTTTTCAGCTTTAACAGTCCAGACCTGGATCCTGTTTATGATAACCCAGTCCGGTTGGGCTGCTGTGACTCGAATTCGTAAACATGCCACGGTTGCGGGCACAAGTTTCTGGACATCGGGCTCATTAAACTGTCCTTTCTGAAGAGAACCTAGTGCTTGAAATCCCGAACAATCCACCGCAGACTCTGTTTTCACCAGAGTTTTCCCAAGTTCCACATCAGCAGAGACCAGCTGATCTTTTCCATCCGATCCTGTTCGTACTTGGACACGGGAGATAAGAACCGGTTCATGAAAGACCACTAAAAAGTAGTTTTCTAAGCCAATAGGGGACACGCCCCAGAAGTACTCTAAATCTTGACTGTAAGCCTTTTCGGCTTTATTGGTCTCAAAAGTCTCAATGTTCGTGCGAATGTCTGCTGGAGGGTTATCAGCAACTTCTTCCATGAAGTCCTCATCCTTCAGGTGATTGTATGTCCCCCTAAATGACGAGTAAGTGCCCATGTGCTGAAACAGAGATGGGCGGAAACGAATGACTTTATCCTGCATCAACAATTTGTGAAAATGCGACAGCAGGAAGTCGCAGGGCATCTCTTGGTAGAAATTATAAAGGAAACGGCCCAGAATGGGCAGATCTTTGGATTGGTAGAGTTTTCCGATGTAGCCCAACTTGGAGAATTCCAGCGTGACCCACTTCGAGTGGCCCATCGAACGGATGTGCTCACGCATACTGGAGAGAAAGTTCTTCGAACAGCTCACGTCATCCTCCAGCATGATATAGTATTGGGAGAGGTTACTGCTAAAATGGAGCAAATAGGAGTAGTCCACGTTTTGCTTCGAACGGAAGGACACGCGGTCGGGAGCGTCGTTGAAGTTCCTCTTCAGTCCTGTAAGGGGAGGATAGTTCTCTTCATTGACGTGGATAACAAGCAGTTGACCCTTCGACAGATGCAATTGGAATTCATCTGTGATTTTCTGTAAGGTCTCCCGGATCCAGCTCACATCAAAGTCAGCGAGAAGGACGACCACCACCATTTGATCCAGCTCTTCCTCTGAGGACGCGGTGAAGATTGACTGAAGAGTGTCCTGAAGATAACTGCCCTTTTTCCTCTTCACAGACGAGAGGCCCACCGTTAGGTACTCTGAAAAAGGATGAAACCACAGGGATGTGACTACAAAGTTGTTTACTGGGATTCATTAAGTTCACAAAGTCTTAAATCTTTCCCAACCATTCATGGAATTTTCCAGCTATATTTATGTAGGATTTATAATCCGTGTCTTTTGTCCACTTTCAACCACTTCTGTCCTGATTTCTTCGAGGGGAGGGTCTATGGGCGGGGAAGTGTATGGGCTTTTTCAAATCTTTCAATCTAATGGGCCAAATAAGCTTGTGCAGGTAACATATGAAGGCGAACGGAGACGACGGAAAAACACACGGAGAACAGCAGCTTTAGTTTCTGCTCGGACAGACTCGAGACCAGCCGAACGCTGTGAGTGTGTGTTAGAAATCAGGAATGGTGAGAGAACATTGTGCTTGGTACATTTTTCATCTTTAAATCAAACTTAGGTTTTTAGAAAACAAAGTTTGAATCCCGTCTGGCTAGAGCTCTTCTCATAATGTTACTCATTAGGTCAGTATGCGGAGAGTAGACGGGCTTTTGTGGCTGTTTGAACACATTCAACCACACGAGTGTTTACACTACGAAAGTGTATGAAGTGGTCCAAAGTGGTCGTTTTAGACCCGTTTACACCTGTATTTTGTGTCGTCCACTTGTGATCCGATCGACCGAAACGCATCTTAATACCAGGTGTGAACAGGGCCAAACATTAAACAGCATATAAATCAAAACTGCTTAATGTTACTGAATGAAATGTCGACCCAGGACGAGCTGTAGGATTGAGCTGTAGTTATGGGGGTGTTGATGGACTCGATCTGTGTTTTGATCATCGTTCTCAATCCGATCCGGAAAATGTGATTTTCTCAGCTTTTTGTTCAAAATTTGGCTTTTTTTAATGAAACTTACCCACATTCAAGTATAGTTCACGTAGTGAAACTACGCAAAGCTTCTAGGTTGTACGTCACGCATCACACACATGACCAGCGTCGGCCAATAGTGAGCCTGCGTGTGACGTGCAACCTAGAAGCTTTGCATAATACATCACTACGTGAAATATCACGGCCCACGGAGAAGGAAATGATTAGTTGAATAAAGTCGTTATTTTTGTTTATTTTTTTGCGCACCAAAAGTATTCTCGTGCTGGCTGCCAACTTAAAAATGCTGGTGCTGGCTGCCAACTTAAAAAAAAAAAAAACGCTGGTGGGGGGAAGAAGTTAGAAGTTAGTTTGAACGGCAGTATATATAATCTTACTGGTATTTTGTTAATCTTACTGGGATGTTGTTCCAACCCCGTAAGACTTTCGTTCATCTTCAGAACACAAATGAAGATATTTTTGATTAAATCTGAGAGCTGGATCACTCCTCCATAGGCTTCTTAAGGGATCGAAACTGACCGGCCCAAAAGTTATGAAAGACATCGTTAAAATAGTCCGAGTGACTACAGTGGCTCAACCTTAAGTTTATCAAGAGACGAGAATACTTTTTAACCAACTGGTGCTGGTTGAGGAGAGACCCCCTGATATGATTGTAAAGCGCTTTGGGTGTACAGTAGTACATATGAAAGCGCTATATAAATGCCTCATTCATTCATTTCAAGATAAATTCTCAAGAACATAGCTAGTTTTCAATACAGCACGCCCTTTTACTGAAAAACAAAACTTTCATGTCTAGCAGAGCTACCACAGGATGCGGTGTTGCAGAAAGAAACAGTCAGGCGACCAGTGTCCGGAATGGAGCTTGAAAAGTTATTTTAAGAACTGGTGAAACAAACGAAGACATCCGCCTAGCACACATGTACATTAATCATCAGTTTAAAAGTATTGCAGATGTTTTGTGTGAATGGTTCCCACAAGCTGCACTTATGCACTTATTCTACATAAATATGTTGATTATTTTACGAGTAATTTAGATCTTTACATCGATTTTCAAGCATTTTCTTCGAAATCTGTTGTATCTAAACAAAACTTCTACCAGTAAATTCTCTGCTAGTTGTGAATAGATGAACTCACTCTTGGACTGCTGGAGGTCTCCTGCCAGAACTTTAATGGAAACATTGAAATGCAGGTAATGGCTCTGGAGATCTTCAACCCAAGTCTCTCTATCCCAAATCCAGTTCACTGAACCCTGTAGAAAAAAATAAAAACATAATCATAAAATGTACAGGTCTTGTTCATCATATTACATCAACATCACCTACAAACATGATCCTACAGGGGGTTTAGTGTTAAGCCTCGTTCACACTGCCAGCGACACGCAGCCGTGACATGATCCCATTCATTTCAATGGAGAGCTGGAGATTTCCAACACGATTTCCAGCCGCGATGGCACTCGCCGTTTCTTGTTCATCGCTAATATTAAGCATTGTATGTACTGATTCCATTTCTAGTCTTTTCCCTCCAAAATGTTTGTTTTTAGCTGCAAGAAAACTGATTCGGTGTCTACAACATGGAATAAGATCCGTGAATGCCATTCATAAACTTTACTAGACAACAGTAGTGTAAACGTCCACTAGCGACCTCACTGGCGACATGCAACAACAGAGTCACTGGCAGTGTGAACACAGCTTTAGGTAAGGTGGGTACACTCTACATGATTTTCAAAGTCGTCGGATTGCTGTTCTTCTCACACTTCACAACAGATCGGCAACAGGGGGTCACACATTTTAACACAAAAGATGTGTATCCACAAAAACTGAACTTTTAAAGGGTCATGAAACCCCCCTCTTTCAGCTCAAGTCTAGCTCACAATCTTTTTTAAAAATACAACTTAAATGGGCGTGGATGGCTGTGAGAAGAAGCGAGGGAGTGGGTGTGGTTTGGCCATCACTGTCATCGCCAGTGGCCCATGCATATCGACTGTCACTAAAAATCAGTGGTAAAACGCGAGGAAATGCTAGATTTTTTTATAGCTGGCAAAGTTAAGTCTAATGAAATACACTGACACTTTATTATTGTCTTTTCAAAAGTAACTGAATGCCCTGCTACATATATTAGCCTACAGTAATCGTAATTCTATTTAAAACATATTAATGTAGGCTACATGTGTAATTATAATGTCATTATAAAATATATAGTTGTTTATATCTAGACACTAAATGCATATATTTGAAAATAATTAATTTTCCAAAAAAAAAAGTTCCATGCATAGCCTACTGATCTACGCGCCCGCTGAACTCCCATGATAAAGATGGCTCTGTGGAGGTGGAGGACTTCTTATTTTAGACACACACACTCACACACATCTGAAGGGATAGAAAAGTCCTCGTGACTTGGTACCGCATCACTCGCAAGACGCAACCTGCATTGGTCGTCAACCAGGCGAAGTCCACCATTCTCCAATTACATTTTTTTTGGGGGCACACACTATAGTTTAGATGTGTCCGTGGTTGATGACAAACCAACCGCCCGGAGCCAGAGTCTAGCCCTGGCAGCATCGCGGGGAAACATATTCAACCCACTTGTACTTTTGCACCACGAAAACAAACACTTGTTGCGTCCCATGATTGTCTCCCTCATCTACGCGATATCACAGTTTGACATGTCTGTCATTGGAAAGATCCACGTAGTGTCATGAATAATTAAGAGACAGTGTCTTCTCATAGGAAGAAAACTCAGTCTCATTAATAATTATGAGACACTGATGAGTCATCAACGCATTCACAGTGCACTGCCACGTCATAGCCTGTGACGTGGACACGATGAAGATTTTAAACCCGGAAGACGAAAAAAGCGGAAAAAAACTAAAATATAACCATTTTAACCCTATTATTAAATCTAACAGATGCTAACATTGTCTTCAATGGTGTTCAACACGCATACCTCTGTTAAAATCTCAGAAAATTTGGTTTGGGGTTTCATGACCCTTTAATTGCAATCCACATGCCACACACATTATACAACATTTCAATAGGAAGAATCCATTGGCTGTTATTTGCCGTGTGCAGTGGAAAGGCGGTTTAAGGCCATGTTTACACGACAACGATGTACTATAAACAGAAACGTTCTTCCATTGCGCTTTTTGCGTACAGGCGACAACATTGTCAAAATGATTCCCGTTCAAACGGATACATGAAAACGACTAAAAACGCTGTATTATTTACATGCCAGGCCAGTAGATGGCGATGCCACTTTGTAAAGAAACACTACGTGCCTATAGACTGAACACGTAATACGCATGCGCATAAAATCACCGTTTTCACAAATTCATGTTTTTGTAGTTTACACAGAGACGATAACGGTATCGTTTTAAAAAGATTGCCCTTTGAAACCTGTTTTCAATCCCCCAAAAGACAGATGTCATGTAAATGAACGGCCAAAACACATCAAAGTTTTCCGTTTTTAATTGTAAACAGACCCAGGTCCAGTGCCAGGTTGCATAAAGCACCTTAAGTGTAATTTTCCCTTAAGATCACTTACAGTAAGTTTCCCTTAAACTTTAGGGTGTCGCAGAAAATAACCCTTGTGTTACTTAAGGGTTTTTAATAAGTGAAACATCATAAACCCTTAGAATACGTCACACACAAGAACAAACCTCATTGGTTCTTGCACGTCAAGCACTCACGTTTGAACATCCGAAACAGCTTGAATCATATATATTACTTTGATGACTTTCAATGAATAGACAGAAATGATGAGAGAACATTAAAAAATAGAATAATTTGTGTTCCAAAGATGAAGGAAAGTCTTATGGGTTTGGAACAACATGAGGTTGAGTAAATGAATACATTTTTTTTCTTTCTTTGAGTATCCATCTAGTTTGTTCCTTCTCTTTTATATTTAGTTTTCTTTTTTGATTTTGTTATCCATGTTCTGTGTTTTCTGTGAAAACGTACCGCTATCCGTGTTAACAAATAACGTGTGCATGGCAACAACAGACATTTGACATATCCTGAGTCTCTGTCATGAATCACTTAATGGTTTCCTAAGGGAAGTGTTTAAGAAATCCTCAAATAAATCATTCCCTCAAGGGTAAATCACGGTGTAGCAACGCATAATGTAATAACGGCACATAATGTAATAACGGCACATAATGTAAAAACTGCACATAATGTAATAAGTATTACATTTTAATTGTAATAAAATGTTTATAATGTAATAATTTTCTCAAAATGTAATAAAATCTTGAGCTCATAATGTAATAACAATTTTTACATGAGAAATTTATTACATTATAAACTCACCAAAAACATCATATTTTCATAATTGTAACAGCTTTAAAAACATAAAAAAATATTACTATTCCCATATGGTACATTTTTAAAAATCTAAATCCAGTTTTAAACTACCTGCGAAATGCAACAGATTTAAATATTCATGCAATTATTTTTATTTTATTTTTTTATTATTAAACATAAAGCATTTGTATAACCTGCCTACAAAATCTACCAGACAAGTATTATTATTATTACCACTACTACTCTACTACTACTTTTATACATCCTGTATACATACTGTTAAATGAGAAACAGTGTTAAATACCAATACTGTGGAAAAATGTTGTGAAGAAAACCCCACAGTATCAATACAGATATGAGGGTGTGTGTGTGTGTGTGTGTGTGTGTGTGTGTGTGTGTGTGTGTGTGTGTGTGTGTGTGTGTGTGTGTGTGTGTGTGTGTGTGTGTGTGTGTGTGTGTGTGTGTGTGTGTGTGATAAAACATGTTATCTGCTTCAGCCAACGGCAGCAAACATTTCTTCACTTTAATATAAGTTACAGCAAAAAAAGCCTGAATGAATGAAAAATACAGTACAACAAACAATCATGTACAGTGCAGTGGTAATAAAATGTTCACACACCTCTGCTAAAACTGTTTGGTTTTGTGATGTAAAAAAGAAAGAAAAATAAAATCAGAACTTTTGCACCATTAATGTACTTAAATTACTACTAGTAGTAGTAGTAATCTGGTGGATTTTGTAGGCAGGTTAAAACTGGATTTAAGATTTGTTAAATATACTGTAAAGGAATAATGCTTTGTTAAATAATAATAATAATAATGATAATTGCATGAATATTTAAATCTGTTGCATTTTGCAGGTGGTTTAAGAATACTAATATTTTATATGTTTTAAAAGCTATTACAATTATGCAAATATTACATGTTTTTGGTGAGTTTATAATGTAATAAATTTCTCACAATTTACAATTTTTTATTACATTATGAGCTCACGATTTCATTACGTTTTGAGAAAATTATTACATTATGAACATTTCAATGTAACACTTAATACATTATGTGCCGTTATTACATTATGTGCAGTTATTACACTATGAGTTCCTACACACTGTTTAGGTGTCACACTTAAAGGGAAAGTTCACCCAAAAATTAAAACTCTGTCATCATTTACTCTCCCTGAAGTTGTCCCAAACCTGTATCAGTTTCTTTCTTCTGTTGAACACAAAAGAAGATCTTTTGTAAAAGTAAAAAATGTGCTTGTACAGAACTTTTAGGAAACATTTTGTTGTGAGTGAGTGAAGAAAAACAGTGGGCTACGCCTCACATGAACAGGAAATGATCCTGAACAGCATTGCAATGAAACTAAACTGCTAGTACAACTTGTGGTGTGCAACAGTGTGTGCCAATTCCTGTACTTGTGCATTATTCTATGCCAGTCTAAATAGAGTGAGCGTGTTCACACTGAATATTACAAAAAGTGCCTTTAAATACCCGGATGATGCACTTAAAAATGAAGTGCTGTGAAGACTAAAAATGTACTGTTTAAAGGGATAGTTCACTTTGAAATTAATTTTCGGTATGTTTTAGCTTACCTCAAGGGCATCCAAGATGTAGGTGTCTTTGTTTCTGCAGAAGTTTCGATCCAAGTGATCTGAGGGCGCGGGCGCTTCGGACTTTTCCGGCAAGCGCCGGAAGTGATCTCTCGCGCACTGGCCGGCGCCCTCAGATCACTTGGACGTGGCTGTGTTTACAAGAGGTAAAAACGATATAAATACTGTTCGTTTTCTCACACAAACCGCTCGTTTCGTGTCTTAGGCCATCAATGTGTACTTACATTTACGAGTCATTAAATCATGTTTAATTTGGACTTCTCTGTGCATGCTCTTTGAGGTGGTGACCATAGACCTGCATTATATGACTGACAGACAAGAACAGTTTGACCTAAAAATATCAAAATTGAAACTACTGCGGAAACAAAGACACCTACATCTTGGATGCCCTTGAGGTATAGCTAAAACATACCAAAAATTAATTCCAAAGTGAACTATCCCTTTAATGTTATTTTTTTAAATTATTTTTCTTTATTCATTTTCATAATGTATTTTGTAAAGTCAGAGTATGTTGTAATGTACATGTGTGCTGAGCAGAGATCTGGGATGAGTTATATATTTTGCTTAGAGGTATGTGTGCAATGCAACGTTCACTGAGCAGAGATGTTCCACTAACGATGATACTTCAGCTGGCATGTTCTTTACAAGGAAAGGAATGTTTCAACTGATGCAAGCGTACCACAAATGTATACGAGTCATTCTAGAATTGGGGGTACATTTCGAGTCTCCCAGATAAACCTTCTTTTTTTTAATCGGTTTTGAATAATAACACAAATGATATTAAACTATCTCTAAAAAATAATGCTTTATGTATATTTAGAAAAATATTTAATTGGAAATATTAACTAAATGACTCCCACTCCACCTATTATTGACTGTCTCTGCCTCCTGATTCATACATTCAACTTGAATTATCATGAAACAATTAAGTCTAATTTTCAAATATTTTTTGTGTTTACTCTATTAAGTTATATAAACAATTACAAAGAAAATATATATTATATGCAATTTAATTAATAAATAAAAAATAGATTTTGTGTCTCTGCCTACGTTCTGGTCAACTCTGTTATAAAACAAAATAAACCCTCCAAAGCATTTGTAGAAAAAGCATGTGAATTGCACCAAGGGATGTCACTTCCTCTGGTGGGAAATTCTGGAAAGCAGTGAAGTATGTCATTATTCTTCTCTCATTAATTTGTACAAAATGTTTAGGATACACAAATAGTAGATTAAGTATTTGTCAAATCTATTATTGTGATATTGCACTGAATCTCTCACTCACTTTTTAAAAAACGATAATATGGTGAAAACCCATAAAATTCTGTTTTTAGACATGCCATGTGGTATCTGGTTTGAGGTTAGCATTTTGAGCTAAAGCACAAAATGGTGGAAAATGTCAACTCTGTTATCGTCAACCCAATTTGTCTATAACAGAGTTGACAGATTTTTCTGTATTGTACATTGATGTTCGGTCTTAATATTTTAAATCGTACAAGTTTAAGATCAGCAAATATTGACAATGTTGAATTTAAACTGCATTCTATTAAAAATAAAAAAAGTTTAACAGGAAAATAAATCTTATTTTTTTGTTTTCTTTCTCTACTTGAAATGTACCCACAATTCTGGAATGAGTCGTTTTCTTAATGTGGAAAGTGGATTGTACCATGTGTAAGCATGAGGTATACGTTCCATTTTTAAACGTAAACAACATGTTTTTCCACCTTACAAGGAAGTTGTAAGTCCCAGAGTGGTGTATATAAGCTCAATCTTACTGTACCGCCTCAGAGAAACATTACGGTATGACGGGGCGAGAGGAAGGAGAAATAGAGATGAGAAACACCGGGAACACATAGACCTGGCACGAATACAACCATCTTCTCAAGTTTCTCTCCTATGCTGACGAATAAAGATTTTTCTTGGCAAGATAACTGGTGTCCGGTTCCGTGAATAAAATAATAACGGGGAAAAAGGCTTAATTCCAAGTCTACAGTACATGCAGAATGTGTTGGACACTTCAACTGTCACAGCTTTCCTTGTGATACAGAGGGGGAGGGACTATCAGAGTTGATTGACAGAATAACCGAATAAAATTCATACACTACGCACGTACACAGTGCATATAAGTCGTGCATAATGTCTATTTGGGACTCAAGACAAACAACAGAATGAATCATTTGTAAGTCAAGATTCAGTGGATTTCTTGGAAGAGATAATCCACCCTTTTGTCGTTTCAAACCTGTTTGACGTTTTTTCTTTCTGCTGTGGACATACAGTGGAAGTCAATGGAAACCGTTTGGTAGTCAACATTCTTGTTTCGTGTTCCGTGAAAGAATTAAAAGTCAGGTTTGGAATGACATGAGGGTGAGAAAACGATGAATAATCATATTAGCACACGCTTACCTTGACTTGTCCTGATTCTGCTCTCTGCATGTAGATGTAGACGCTGGTCAAAATGAAAAGACCAGCTCCGACCAGGACGGATTTTTTCAGATAGCATCTCATCACCCACCTTCTTCTGTTAAAGACACATATGCACACCAACAATAAACACATCGTAAGTCTTACTTGTGTCACTTGTCGCTCCAAATGCTGTTTTTCCAACATGTTTGATTGTCTTTAATCAGTAGCTGCATTGTTCAATTATTCACACGACCCAGTTTGAATAATTAATGTCCGATTATGAACCATTCAGCTGACACATTCAACACTGTCATTTAGAAGAGCAAAATAGTGCTTCTCAAACTAGTATGTTGTCAAACAGAGGGCAGGGAAAAGCTGCAAGAAGAGAGTAAAGATAGGTATATTTGTGAACATGATAATAATATGCATTACATCGGCCTGCATCATATTTTCTTACTAAATTTGGGGTGCTGATTCCAAAAATAGTCACATATAGGGACATCACACTTTCCCACAAAATATGTTGAGCACTGCATGGTATTTTTGCTTTCGACAACCATTTGTAAGGTGAACAAGTCATCCCTTAATCACCAGAAAAACTGACACAAAGACACGATTCCTATCTTCCTCTGAGCAAGATTAAAATGATTTGTTCAATTGTCAGCCGATTTTCATATGAATGACTATTTTAAGCCTAATCCTGATTTCAAGGTTAGATTCATGGCCAGTGACAGAAGAAAATGCGAAACTTGCCCCAGGTGTTTACTGAAGTTACGTAATCAGATTACTTTTTTCAAGTAACTAGTTAAGTAATGCTTTATTTTAACATTTATAAGTAAATATCTGAGTTACTTTTTCAAAGTAGTAACGCAAGTTAGTTTGTTTTCCCATTTATTGTCATTTATTTAGCAAGCCCAACCCAGGTGACAAAAACATAAAAGTACTTTCCATAAAAAGTAACCAAGTCACACAATATTCTAATGCATTGCTTCTGAAAGTAACTTAACCCCAACACTGGTTTGCTGCTACATCTGTGGTTGTTTTACTTCATCCAAAAAGCATCAAGAAATTACAGATTGTGATTTTTTTTTTTTTTATAAACTATGTTTATGTAAAGTTCTTTGAAATTAAATGGCGTATTTGAATATATATTTCCACTCCTTTGCAGATTGTAAGTAAAATGATCCATTTTCAATACTTCTTTTTGTCATTTTGTGCATTAAAGCTGATACATTTATATAATTTGAAAAACCATTCATATTTTGTGAAGAAAAAAAACTTTTTATTTTTAACTTAGCATAATCAAATAAGCTAATAATTAGGGCTTTTTTGTGTAATTAATATCACTTTTCAGCAAAAAGTGTTTGGAGTCAATAATTTCTGATTTAATCTATTCATTTAATCAAATTTATTCTGTAGAATCCAGAATTCTGTGGTTTCCATGGATTTCCCCAGTTCAATAATGAACTGTGCTGAGGGACATAACACATATTCTTATTCAAAACTTACATAGTGACAGAATGGTTTACTAATCTTACATCCAATGTTTCTCCTGCTTAAGCCAGAAACCTGCTAACTTCCACATGACACAACAATAGTGTGTTTACGTGGAAAATAAAAACAAACACCTGTAGGCATTACTGTATTGTACCTCTGTAACGCACAAAGTCTGCTTAGAGTAGTAGCAAAAAGGACTACATAGACGAATTTACTGCTCAAATAAAAAATATGTAGTTAATAAATGCATTTGATCAAAAATATAGGCTACACATTTCCAGAATGTTGCCGTAGACTACCATTAAAAGTGCTTTACTGTACACATGATTGTGTGTGTGTGTGTGTGTGTGTGTGAGAGAGAGAGAGTGAGAGAGAGAGAGAGAGAGAGAGAGAGAGAGAGAGAGAGAGAGAGAGAGAGAGAGAGAGAGAGAGAGAGAGAGAGAGAGAGAGAGAGAGAGAGAGAGAGAGAGAGAGAGGGCGTTTACAAACTGACAGCATGTCACATTTGCCTTAGATCACACATAACTTCCCTGGGTATTTCAGGGAGCGTATAGCGACTGTAATAATTACTTCCTTGTTTTCACTGATTCATTGTCATTGTAAGTCTGAAAGGTAATTTAAACTATAAAAGTTGAACGGTTACATTATATTTTAATGACTCATTGTTTGTAAAATTACTTATAGTTTGTAAACCATAATTTACAATGGTTCTAAAAGCAAAAGTAATAATCCTAAAAGAGAACTGGTTGTGCTGTAAAGGAATCCTTAAATGTTTAGCAGAAAAAGGATTTGCCATTATGTGTTTTAACTGCATGTTTAGCCAGATACATTTTGAAACATCCCTTTCTTTAAACCATGACATAGCCTACTGTTTCCAGAGCAAAGGTGAACTTTCGCCTCTACACTTTTACTAATGGCACTGAATGAAAGCACGCCTGCCTGGTTACCGAAACATAGTTTGTTGCTAATATAGCCTACAGCTGAAAGCAAAATGAAGAGTAGGCTAGACTATACACCAGGCGAACAGGTTTTAGATCTCGCATGTGTGTTGACCTGAGCTCACGGACATTGCGCTCCTTAAAACTCCATTTACAATGCAAACAAGTTAGGGTAGTTGTTTTGTTTATACGCCTATTGGTGAAAGGAAGAGTCAACCCAGACCATAATTAGGAAATGTAGCCTACACATTAAAAGCAAACCAAAATAAATATTTAGAAATATAGGCTATAGTAGGCTACATTTTATAGTTGTATATTATTATTATCATTATTATAACAGTAGGCTATAAACAATCTGTCATTTCATATATAATTTATTTTATCTTGTTCTTCTTATCTACAAAGAAAACGTCAGAGTAGCCTACAAAAATGTTATTTTAAAAAAGCATTTGAATCCACGCATCCACGATACCAAAAAAATCAATTGAAAAGTCTATTTCCAAAATATTGTCCAGTGAAGCAGTGTATGCTTTGACACAAAGTTCAAACAAATGTATTTAATCCACTTACCTTTATATCGCCTATGCAGCAGTAAAAGTAAAACATTTAAAGTGATATTTTATAACGTTAGAGAAAACGCATGTCTCTGTCCACGAGTTAGATCACTTCCTAGTGTCGTTGTCTAATAGCCTACGTCTTTCTTTCCTTCGGAGAAGTGTGTTATCATCTGTTATGCGTTTATCCAACTGATGGTCCTGCCCAAGCGCTGCTGTCATGAGGACTGATGGTCGTTAAATGTTAACCCGGTTATTGTGGCTATGAAGCCATTTCCTTATCGATTGGTATTACCCAGCCCGCGTTGTATTACCATCGGGAAAATGAATGGTGTCATGAGTCAATCAAACAAGTTTCAAACGGTTTTTTTTTTTATATCTCTTGATATGTAGATTTCCTTTAATCATATAATTACATCCACTGGCTTTCTGAATTTAGGTAGCCTAAATGAATGAATGAATAAATAAATAATTAAATATGATACGTTTTATTTGTTACATTGTGTTAGTGCAAATATGTGTTGAAAGATAGAAGACAGACACACCACTTCAGTATCAGTTTTGCTAAATTAACCACAATAAGAAAAAAAGAAAGCCATCCCTTAAAAAAAAACACTTTTTTTCTGCATGTTTACTTCTGAATGTTTATTTCTGCATGTTTACTTCTGCTTTAGCTTATATATTTGCATGTATAATGTATGTAAATAGTGTTTATTACACTTTATATGAGAATGAGAAGTCTGTTTCTAGTTTCCGTTTCATTTTTAATTCATACCACAACAGTACAATAAGTGTATTTATGGAAATAAAATATGTATTAAAATAAAATATGTAAGTTTTGATATGTAATTAAAATGTGCATTTTCTTCAGAAGGCAAATAAAATTCTATCTTCATTTTAAATGGACAGCAATATATTGAATCATTTACATTTAGTCATTTAGCAGACGATTTTGTCCAAAGTGACTTACAAATGAGGACTAAAGCAAACGAGTCATTGGAAGAGTCAAAATACAAAGTTTGTGTAGTTGCTCAGAGTAGCATAAGCCAGACAAGGGAGGATTAAAGGATAGCCTAAAGAAAGGGTTTTTTTTTTTTGTTTAGGTTGAGTGCTCACACAAGAGTTTTGTCTTTGTCAAGATTTGTCTTTTGGAATGTTGCCAGATTCTGCATTCCGGATGAGGGTGGGGAGATCATTCCACCAGCATGGAACCGTGAATGAGAATGTTCTGGAGAGTGATTTTGTGTCTCTCTGTGATGGTGCCACGAGCCGTCGCTCATTGACCGATCGTAGGCTTCTGGTAGGGATGTAGACTCGTAGGAGCGAGTGAAAATTAGGAGGGAGCTGAGCCTGTGGTAGATCTGTAAGCAAGCGTTAATGCCTTGAACTTGATGCGAGCCGCGAGTGGTAGCCAGTGCAGAGAGATGAACAGAGGAGTGACGTGGGCCCTTTTGGGCTCATTAAAGACAAGACGGACTGCAGCATTCTGGATCATTTGTAGAGGTTTAGTTGCACATGATGGAAGTCCAGCCAGAAGAGCATTGCAGTAATCAAGCCTAGAAATAACCAGGGCCTGGACGAGAAGTTGTGTTGCATGCTCAGTTAGGAAAGGCCTGATCTTTCTGATCATGTCTGGCAATTTGAAAAATGTTTTTGGGGTCGATAAAAGTTAAAAACATATATACAAGAAGTATATTCATGATTCTCAGGTAGTTGGCATCATCCAGCCCTCTTCCTCTCCGGCTGGGGTGGGATACTTCTTGGTAGGGAAGAAGGATGGATCGCTGCGCCCCTATATAGATTATCGGGGGTTAAATTACATCACGGCGAAGAATCGCTATCCTTTGCCATTGATGCCATCGGCCTTCGAACTCTTGCAGGGGGCGACCATCTTTACTAAGTTCGACCTCCGCAATGCTTATCACCTAGCTCGGATTAGGGAGGGGGACGAATGGAAGACCGCCTTTAACAACCCCACGGGGCACTTTGAATATTTGGTCATGCCTTTTGGGCTTTCTAATTCCCTGCGGTCTTCCAAGGACTAGTCAATGACGTACTCAGAGACATGGTCGACCGGTTTGTATTTGTTTACCTCAACGACATCCTGATCTCTCTCCCAGAACGAGTGTGGCCATGTCCAGCACGTCAGGCGAGTGCTCAAGCGGCTGCTTGAGAATCAGCTATTCGCCAAGGTGGAGAAGTGCGAGTTTCACGCACGGTTGGTTCTGTTCCTGGGATTTGTTCTCTCACCCGAATGGATCCCACCAAGGTACAGGCAGTTGTGGATTGGCCCACCCCAAATAGTCGTAGATCGGTCCTGCAATTTCTGGGGTTGTCCAATTTTTATAGGCGATTCATTTTAGTCAGGTCGCCCTTCCTCTGACTAATCTCACCTCCCCTCGAAGACATTTCTGTTGGTTGCCACAGGCTCAGGCTGTGTTTACAACCTTAAAGAGTCGCTTTGTATCGGCTCCTATCCTTGCTACTCCCGATCCATCTCGTCAGTTCGTTGTGGAGGTGGATGCGTCGGAGGTGGGAGCGGGGGCAATTATGTCTCAAAGATCATCTTCGGATGACAGAATACATCCTTGCGCATTTTTTCTCATCGTTTAACCCCTTCGGAACGGAATTACAACATTGGGAATAGGGAGTTACTGGCTGTTAAGTTGGCGCTGGAGGAGTGGCGTCACTGGTTAGAGGGTGCAGAGGTCCCTTTTATTGTTTGAATACATCCGCACCGCTAAATGACTAAATTCTCGACAGGCTCGCTGGGCACTGTTTGTCGGTCGTTTTTACTTTAACATCTCCTATTGCCCGGGACCCAAGAATTGTAAGCCCGACGCGCTTCGCAGATCTTTGAGGCTGAGGTTAAACCCACCCTCCCGGTGACCATTCTGCCTCCCGATCAGATGGTAGCGGTGGTCACCTGGGGAGTGGAGTCCAGAGTCCACACTGCGCTGCGCAACATCACGGTTCTTGCAGGGTGCCCTGAGAGCCTGTTGTTTGTGCCGGAATCGGTCCGAACTAACGCCCTACAGAGGGGTCACTCATCCAAACTAGCTTGCCACCCAGGAGCGACTCGCACGTGCCGTTTAATCAAGCAACGGTTTTGATGGCCGTCCATGGCACGGGGCGCTCGTCAGTTCGTGTCGGCCTGTCCAGCTTGTGCTGGGGGCAAGGGCTTCAATCGACCCCCTGCAGGGCTACTCCAGCCGCTGTCTGTCCCTTCGAGACCCTGGTCACATATAGCTTTGGACTTCGTAACCGGCCTACCTCCGTCTATTGGCAACACAGTAGTCCTCACTGTGGTGTACAGGTTCTCGAAAGAGGCTTATTTTGTTCCCCTCCCCAAATTGCCTTCAGCGAGGGAGACAGCGACTGTTGTCTTAGACCAGGTTTTCCGCATTCATTGCCTCCCGGTGAACGTGGTCTCTGACAGGGGTCCCCAATTTGTGTCTAAGTTTTGGACAGAGTTCTGTCGACAGCTGGGGGCGACTGTGAATCTTTCCTCCGGATATCACCAGCAGACTAGCGTTCAGGTCGAACGGACCAACCAGGATCTGGAGAGGGTCTTGCGCTGTGTGGCGTCTGCGGAATCGTCGTCTTGGAGTTTCAGATTAACCATGATCGAGTATGCGCATAACTCCCTCCTTGTCTAGTCTACGGGTTCGTGTCCCTCCCAGTGCTGTTTAGGCTACCAGCCCCCATTAATCCCCTCCCAAGAATCCGACGCCATTGTTCCGTCCGCGCATGCATTCATTCAGAGGTGCCTCCATACATGGAGGATCGCCAGAGAAGCCCTCACTCTGACTGGCGACAGGAACAAGGCGTCGGCGGATCGTCACCGTACTAAGCCCCCACTTTACGTGTGTGGTCAGAAGTCTCTTCCACAGTTTGGTAACTGTAGTGGGGTTTTTTAGCAAGAATTTTGCGAGATTTTCAGTCAGGTTTAGATCAGGACTCTGGGCTGGGTATTTCATTATTTCAATGTTCTTAGCTTCAAGGAACTACTTTACCCATTTTGCAGTAGGACAGGGGGCCATTGTCCTGCATTTAAAGTGAGGGTTGATTGGGAGATTTTTGCAGGGAATGAACCGCATGTTGCCGAAGGAGGTTCCGATAAACAGTTGCATTCACCCTGCCATGTTGCTATATAAAAGGCCCGACTCCTTCTGGAGAAAACATCCTCCAAACCATGGCACTTCATCCTCCACCTTCCACTGACTTCTTGCGCACTTTGGGTTCAGTCTTCCTTAGTTTGATAAAGAACACAATGTCTCCAAATTAAACTTGCTCTCATCACTAAATTAACTTTGGACCAGTTCTCCTGTCCACACAACTTGCTCCTCAGCAAAGATTTCCCAATCCTTTTGATTCTTGGCTCGACCAAGAGTGCTATTTCAATCTGAATTCTCTTAAACTGCGAGTCACTGTATGCTGAGACAGATCCTTACACTATTCAGCACTGAACTGGTGAGCAATTCCAGTAGTGTTGAACCGATTCCCCACTGAGGCTTGTGGTAGATTTTTCCCCTAGGCACCTGACTTAGGTTGATCCTGGTGTCCTTGATACCTGAAAATATTATACTCAGTTAAGTTACCTCTGAACGCGCGAGTTGACACAATCTAACGCCGCCTAAAAGTCTCGCCCCTTATTGAACACTATCACTTGGGAATATGGTCTCCAGTGTTCCTAACACGCTCCACAATATCACTTGGTAGTAAGGTCTCTAGTGTTTCGCTAAATAACTTGTTCCACTAACTAGCTTACTTCCCACACAGGAATAATCGACAAACAGATTTCAGGAAATGTCCTCTAAATGCTTTAATCACGGCCGGGAGTTCTTGACATTTCCTCAGAGAACTTCCCCCAAGAAGAAGCAATAAGCATGGCCGGAGGATCTCAGACAAATCACATTGAGAATCCCACCAGTAAAACATAAATACAACAGGTTTATAGAATAAGGAGGTATGGCAAAAAATGACATGAAACATTACTTAATTTGATTGGTTCTTCATACACAAGACAAGCCCTCTTGATAAGGTTACCAAACTCTGTTTTTGGTTTCGAGTTTAGACATCTGTCTATTTTCATTTCCCATATTTGTTACTCACACACACACACACACACACACACA